AGGACATAGATATGACAAGGACTCTGTTTTTTAAAATTACATTTAGCATTATTTTTTTTGTAAAAATCTTGTCATCCTGCGATGCCTTTGCCTGTAGGTGGAGATCCGGCATGAACAATTACTTACTTAGATGCACATTTGACTATATTGGTCATTTTACCATATATCATTCCCAATAAAATGATAGAATACAAATACTTTTCCAGACTTGTATAGAGAGCTAAATCATGGTAATAAGTCAGGAGCTTTTTAAATCTCCTATGTCAATGGTTAAAGTAGGCATCACTTGATAAGGTCTGTATACTTCAGTGAATCTGAAAATGTCTATTCTCTTAAGACAATACAAGTACAATAAAAATGGATTGTTTTTCACTTTTTGATGGGTTCTGATTACAAAAGTATCAAACATGTTTACTTCTCAATGGGAGATCCGGTTTCCATGGGGACCAAAGCAACCTCATCTGCTGTTTTGCAGACCATGCTCTATGTACCACCTCCACTTTGGCAGGACTGGAGAGTGGCTGAACACAGCTACCCTGGCAAGTGTGCACAGCCATCTATACAGGTTCTCCTCATGTTCCACCCCCTTCCAACAGAACCCAGGAGGGGGCTTCAAGGATGTGCAGCTTTCCTCCCACTTTCAAGTTGCATCACTTGTGATGCTCTTTGAAACTGGAACATTCTACATGATGATGATAAACATCCGCCATGTGTCACAATGTTTCTTCAAGTTAAGTGTCAAATTATCTGGCAATACAAATAGGTGCCTATTATTATTATTTTTTTTTACTGTTGTAATGCCTTAATTACAGATTCAGCACAGATCAATGGTATTTATTACACGGATTGATCAAATATCTATCATGTACTGGCAATTTTCCCTATTTTGTATATGCCTACTACTGATTCATGTGTTCATAATGCCCTTAATACCAGTTTGCTATATGTCAAGCATTGTACTAAGCATGAGGGGTATAGAAATAAGTAAGACAGAGTTCTTAGTCTCAGAATGTTACTCTCTTATAGCTCAGAATCTAGAGGAGATAAATTACCAGAAGAGGTGTTTGCGAATCACTGTGATAAGTTTAATGGTTTGATACTTGCCATAGAAGAGACCCCAGTCTCATCCTCCAGCATTAAGGAAGCCAAAAGAAGGCTTCCTAAAGAGCTTGCTCAACGAATCAGTATAAATTAACATAGTGAAGAGGCAGCAGCTTGAAGCATCAAATGAAAGTAAGAAACTGCAGTTGCTGGTTTAGGAGCCAGAATCAATTCTGTGCCTGATGGAAACCTAGGATGGTAATGAATGGCAAAAGCAGTGATACGGAGTCTGGTCATCAGTCCTCCTTATGATATGTTAGAAACTGAAGTTTTATCCAAAGCCATTTAAGAAATATAAAGAGAATACATAAAGAAGACAATTTGTCAGTTTTGTGTTTTTGAGTAATTATTCTTTTTTAAAATTTTTTTTTAATGTTTATTTATTTTTGAGACAGAGAAGACAGAGCATGAATGGGGGAGGATCAGAGAGAGAGGGAGACACAGAATCCGAAACAGGCTCCAGGCTCTGAGTGGTCAGCACAGAGCCTGACGCGGGGCTCGAACTCAGGGGCCGCGAGATCATGACCTGAGCCGAAGTCGGCCGCTTAACCGACTGAGCCACCCAGGCGCCCCAGAGTAATTATTCTTAAGACTTCATGGAATATGTATTTGAAGAAATGAGACAGTTGAATAAATGAATAGTATTTTTTTTTTTGCTGGGTCAAAACACAGCCTTGATGAATGTTGGAATCAAAACCTTTAACATCTAAAATTCAGTATTTCACTGACTGCAATTCATGTGCTGTCATTAAGATAGATGTTACATTTTTATTTATTTGCATTTAGCTTAGAAGAGAGAATAGGTGGAGAATGACATACTAGCAAGCCTGCTGATATGTAAAAGTCTCTGGTGTTTCTTGGGTCAGTGGCGGAAACTGAGCCAATGGACAAATGATACAGGGAGTCCAGAACCTTCTCCAAATTTAAGCTTTCCAGTAGATGACCAAAAATATGGTGAGTTACCCACTATTAGAAATAGAAAGTTAGAAAAAAAAAGTAGGAGGGTAGAAACCTGAAGCTTTGAAGGAACTAAGAGATCATCAGTTCATTTCTCTTATTTTACAGAATGCAACTAAAAGTCAAAAAGGTGAAGTGATTTAATCTAAATCAAGCAGGGATCGGCATTGCTTTTTGTTCAGAGTGCTCTCCGCATAGTCACACAAAGTATGGGTAAGTACAACAGATGTAAAATGACAATTTTGGGTACTGAGAGTGAATATGAGTTATATGCTTTATGTGGTCCTATCTCAAGAATCAATGGTTTTTGTTTTTAAGGAAGTGTTCCATTCTGACTCCTCTCAAGGTGGAGTTAATACATTTGAAATAACCACATTTTTCCCACTACCTTATTCCTGTTACCTTTCTACACTCTATTATTTTTAGCTTATTGGAAGTTTAGAATTCTATTTAGTAAATATTGAGGGCCCATATTAAGATAGTTTCTCTTTTCTAGAGGAAGGTATAGATAAGTAATGTAATCATATATTATTAAAACAACTTAAAAGTTATTCCTCAGGAAATATACTTTAGACCACTCTGCTAGTCATTTACAGCAATATTTTGTAATAGTGCAAGTAACAATGCAAGCAGAACTATTAACTTAAAAACCAAGCCATTCATTAAGAGAAAAAAAAAACATGGATGAAAATATTAAGTTTCTTGAAAACTAAAAAAATACCTGATAAAATGAAAACCAGTGATCATGAGTTGTTTAAGAGAGAACCTCAAGAAGTGTTTTGGCAAATGTTAGAATTTAAATGAAAAAGTAAAGCATTTGTCTTTCATTTGAAATAGTAATAACCATTATTCAATATTTCAAGTTACAAAATGTGTGGACATTTGTGTGTGGGGGGGTACCATTCAGTTCAGTCTTGGGCAATTGAAATGGCTAAATAACACCCATATGGTAAACAGCTTGGTACGCCCAGGATAAAGGAAAAGGTGTTGGCAGTGAATCTGTGAAGGAGGCATTATTATTTTCACTCATAGAGGTGATGTAAATATCTAGCTTCCAAGGCTTTATTTCTTTTCTCTAGTTTTTTTTTTCCCTTCTTTTCTTTCTTTGTGTTAATATGTTAGACCTTGGCCGTGTTTTCATAGAATGAAATATTTTTCAATACTAAATGTTCATGCCCACCCCCCTCGTTTCAAATTAGTTGGCTTGGAGGGTGATGGAAGACAACCTAAATATTTAGTTTTATGTATCAAGAATCATTTGCCATTATAGAAGAGATGAAAAAAACATAAAATCTGATTTCTATCTGACAAAACTTTCCATTCTTTGTAGGGCATCATGACATACGTGAAGCAAAGAGAATTTGATAATAGTAGTTATCATATTAACTGTTAACATATTATGAATATTTATTATCTGCCAGTGCTCCCTTTTAGTAATTTCCATACACTGTTGAATAGATTTTACTTCATTCCCATAATAAATCTATGAAATTAGCATTATGATTATGCTAATCTTACAGATGTAGAAATTGGAGAACAGAGAGTGTAAGTAATTTTAAATCCAAGCAAAATCTTGCTTCACAGCTTGTAACTGCAATGGTATGCCTTTATGTAGTAAGATAGCCATGTTTTTTATATTTTGTTCAACACTTCACAAGCTGTGGGACTAGGAAAGACATTAAAGACCATGATGTCTGTGATGGGCATGAAGAGCTCAGAATTTGGAGTTAGGATGAGTCAGCTTCAAATCTCCTTCTGCCAGTGGTGTGAAGTACATAGCTTCTGTAAGCCTCACTTCATCTATAAAATGACCACCTCACTCCCTGGACAGTGTTATTTTGAGGATTAAAAGAGATTATACATGTAATGCACTTAGCTAACAGCAACCATGTGGTATGCTTTCAATAAATGCGTACTGCTATTTTTTTTTTTTTACAGCAAAGGTTTAATGTCTAAAGAGAATATATTTTGACAGACCAATGATCTTAATTTAAACAGAAGGAAGTTTCATGTATCAAATAATTTTTGAGGCTTTCCTTTTGAAGTAAAAGATGAATATTAAAAAATGTTCATTTTGGAATTCAGTTGTACATGTACCTAACTCTGGTGCAATGTAATAATTTCAATTATAAATTTCTTAGGCTAGAGACTTCAGACTGAAGTTTATCAAAAAGAAACAGTGAATTATTTGTCTATGTTATATAAAGCAATGTTTTTGAACACACACCCTCAGACTAACTTGAGGGGCCATAAATATTAAACCTATGTGATATCTGTAACTCTTGTGTTTACATGGAACTTATTTGACTTTTCAATGGAACTTTTTTTTTCAATTAGATGTCAATCCTAGAAGAGATTCTTAATAATTTCCCTGTGATAGAAATACTTATGTTTTATTTTTATATACCAGGAATCAAAACTTTAAAAATCTCACAGAAAGTTGAGCTTACCTCTCCATTTTTAACATGTTTTGAAATATAACATGTTAATGTTATACACTTCAAAAGTAATACACTTTTGAAGACAAATAATATTCATTATTGAAAACTACTTAAATCACATGACACAATAACATCTTTAAAACATTGTCTTATATTTTTAATGAATTTTTAGACATTTTAAGAAAGCACATTTAGGGTGTAACAGGTAATGATATCTGTAAATACAGGAGTAACTTCTAAAAATGTAACAAAGAAGTAAGCATTATATTTAATGGGAATAGTGTGTCATAGTCAATCTGAACATGAACCGTCTCTAAAAAGATAGTTCATAAATATGTTAAAAAAATAAAAAAATTGAGAGTAGGGCCAATGCATTGCCTAAACAGAAAAAAATAAAACATTCCATTTTTGCTTTATTAGAGTATAGGCTTTTTAATACATTTTACATTTACAGAAAATAAGCTATCACTATCGAAACTATATTTAGACTTAAATATTTACCTTAAAAAGTCAGGGGCTTTCAGAATCCTCTTCCTTTCGGGGCGCCTGGGTGGCGCAGTCGGTTAAGCGTCCGACTTCAGCCAGGTCACGATCTCGCGGTCCGGGAGTTCGAGCCCCGCGTCGGGCTCTGGGCTGATGGCTCAGAGCCTGGAGACTGTTTCCGATTCTGTGTCTCCCTCTCTCTCTGCCCCTCCCCCGTTCATGCTCTGTCTCTCTCTGTCCCAAAAATCAATAAACGTTGGAAAAAAAAATAAAAAAAAAATCCTCTTCCTTTCAACATAGATTTGGAAACTTCAGATAAGTTCTAGTTTCAAGTCTGTGGAAATAAGGGAACCATCACCACATGCAGAACTACCAATCTTATTTAACTAATCTTTTGGATGCATATAGGAGCAGCCCAGGATTTGGTTTGAGACAGCTGGATCCCATGTGTCTTGTTTTCAGTATTTACCACTGGGGTAGACAAGTCTCACCTTGAAATGTGGGCCGAATAGTCTCTTCACTCAGTGAGTAGAGAGGCTATGTGGCAGGGCTGAAATCAATATTTACACATGGCCTGTGAAATCAAATTGGTTTGAAGTTTTCCCTTCATGATATTAGCAATGGTAAAGAATGATTTATCAAGCTCCATAACCACTTGGAATTCGTGAATTTCAAATTAAAATTTGAGTATTATGTTGCAAACAACTATGTTTGGATTACTATAAAGTTCTCAATCTGGGGTGCATGGAAGGACTTCAGGGGACCAAGGAGCCAGGGACCACAGTGAGATCACCTTCTGTTTCATGTGTATGTGCTTTTTTTTTTCTATGAAAAGTGTCCTTAGCTTTCATTACATTCTTAAAGAGATCCAAGAAGACAAAAAGGTAAGAGTCACTACATTGAGGAAGAAGGAATTCTGAATATTCATCACACATTTTAAAGTGGCTTGGAAGAACTGGCCTAAGTTTAAATTTTGTGTGTCAAAAGAAAAAAAAGAAAGATTGTTTTGTAGAGGCTTTCTAAACAGTATTTGGAAATACCCTGATAAGGTGATCTGGGAACCGTTCTTATTTAAAAAAAAAAAAAAAATTAATGTTTATTTATTTTTGACAGAGAGAGAGCGCGCGCGCGCGCGCGCGCATGAGCGGGGGAGGGGCAGAGAGCATGAGCGGAGAAGGGGCACTTATTATAATGCCTTTTTTTAGAGAGAGTCTCAGAAGATTCTATATTTTAATTCTCTTCTATATTCTAACATGACTTTATCTTGAGATCAGTTATCAGTGTGTATTTCTTAGAAATATATTTTATCTACAGATCACTTATTCAATTCATTCATTCATATGAATAATCATTCATACATATGAACATTTGAAAATGTTCCCCCCAAAAATAAAACAAAAGAAGTATCCCTAAATTTATTGATAACCCTGTTATTAAAAAATGAACTGTATGTCTCCTCCTTTTGAATCTTGAAAGGTATGGAAAAGCTTCAACAAATAGAGTAAAAATGACATATGATTTATGAGGCTGGATCATAAAAGGGCATACAGCTTCCAACTTGTTTGCTGGAACTCTTCTGGAGCCCTGATACATCCTGTAAAAAGTCCAACAATCCAAGAGCCAGCATACTGTGAGGAAGCCAAGCCACATGGAGATGCCACACATGGACACTCAGTCACAGTCCTGTTCTTCAGAATGTCCTGTCCAGGCACCAGACAAGTAAATGAACAAGCCTCCAGATGATGCCGGCCCCCACTTATGAAATCATCCTAGCCTTCAAAACCTCTCAAATGAGGCTCCAGATATGGTAGAGCAGGAACAAGCCACTTCCTCTGTTCTCTGTCTGAATTCCTGAGCTACAAAATCCCTAAGAGTAATGAAATGGTTCTTTTAAGCTGTAACTGAAGTTTAGATTCATGTGCTATATAGCTATTGTAACTGGAACAACTCCAAACTGGGAGGGAAGGAAGGAAGGAAGGAAGGAAGGAAGGAAGGAAGGAAGGAAGGAAGGAAGGAGGGAGGGAAGGAAGGAAGGAAGGAAGGAAAGAAGGAAGAAAATGTGAAAAGGAAAGGAAAAGAAATCCCATGTATTGTATATGCCCTGGCTCCCACCTTCCTTCCAGCCTTCTGTCCAACAGTTCCTTGTTCTGTGGAATCATCCCAATCCTTTGGCAATTTCCCTTATTTATACTGCTGTTGTTTATTGGAAAGCGCTTCCTTATTTTCTTCACTCTATTAAGACTCAGTTTTGCATTGCTAAAGTGATACTTTATTATTTAATCCTTCAGTATCTCTAGCTATATAGTATATTCTTCTTCGGAAGTCTGATAGAACTTTTTACAAATATTTAAAAATTATTTATTTTATTTGAGAGAGAGAGAGAGTGAGACAGAGCGTGAACATGCACATGCACATGCAGGAGTGGAGGGGAACAGAGGCAGAGGGGAAGACAGAGAATCCCAAGCAGTCTTCAAGCTCAGCATGCAGTCCAATGTGGCTTGATCTCATGATCCTGGGATCATGACCTGAAATCAAGTTGGTTGCTCAACTGCCTCGGCCACCCAGGTGCCCCTGAATTCTGATAGAACTTTTTAACCCCACTTTGATATTTTAAACATTCACCAAACATACTTGTTCTTGTTTGTGTGCACACTGAATTTTTCCTAAGACAGAACTTACATGTGATTTAATACCTCACCTACTTCTTTGTAGGTGTTCCATGCTTTGCTAATAATCCAGCACTGCTCTAAATTAGAGTCGTGTCATTCAGGTGCTTGTAGTCTTGAAAAGCTATTAGCAGCTACAATATACATGGAAGTCAAAATTCTCCTCTTGACTGTTACCATGTTACTTCCTTTGTCCTTTTATATTTCCTTGTATATCCTTGAATGTTCTCTGCACAAATATTTATTTGATAATAACATATTAGTTTGTGAGCCACCATTGACCCCAACTCCATTTTGTCCTTAAGTTGTTATTCTCCCAAAGATTCTCTAGCTTAGAACAAGAGTTGATTTGACCACCTACATCACCTGACATCAATGAGATACAATCATCATCAAGTTTTCACATAATGAAAACACTATAAAACGGGACCACTTAGGCCCCAAAGAACCATATTCTCTGAGGTACGTATTATGTTTTAAAATCTAAATTTTACTTTATTTTAGATATTATTTATTCCCTTCCTTTCAAAAATATTCAAAGGAACAGAAATCAGTTTAATTTTTTAAAATTACTTATATTGTAGTTACAGTAAGTTTTTCTCCCCTTCCCTAAATGACATACATTTGGCCTTAGGGAGAAATGATGAAAGAGAAGGAAATTTTCATTCACTATATATGCCAGACATTGCTGAGCAAAATCCTATTACTGAATTTATTTGTTTACTGCATTCTTTTAAAGTAACTTTCCTTCAATTGAAAGAAAGGAGATTCTTAGATAATATCAGATGTTTTTGTGTCTAACCAAAATATAACAAATACTGTTCAAACAGCTGAATCAGTCTATGCATATTACACAAAATGTTGGCTAAATATATGTATTTGATAATTCCATAATTACTGAGAGATAGACACCCTAAGAAAGAAGTCCTATAACGAGTGTGGGATTAGGCCCTTAACAAGAATCCTTGATATTTGCAGACATCCTGCAGCTCTCTGAATTCCCATTATGTTTTTAATCATAATTGCTTCCCTACCACCCATCTGGGCTGCTATCAACAGAGCCTTATGACTTCCAGGGAGGAATAAATACAGAGACAAGTGAATTCTTTGGAAGCTCCAATTCTGCCTTGGTGCAGATTTCTACATAATAAAATAATGGAGTGAAGCATTTAAAAAAAGATTCCACTGAAGCAAGTATCTTTAAATAGATTATTTTCCACAAGGAATCAGTGGGTGCTAATGTTCCCTTGTTGGCTATAAAATCACTGGGGGAGAAATAATAATTATGGCAATCACAGCATAGTTTAACCCTATGAACTTAGAGACAAAGAAAAAATGAAAAAAAAAAACTTTTAAAAGATCATCTTTAAGAAGGCAACACAATTAAGGTGACCATTCACAGGAGGTTTCCAGCCACTTCACTCTCTCTCCATTAGGGGCTCCATAGCATCTATGGATACCCTTGAAGGCATAACAATATGCGTTTCTGTTCATGGATTTTAGGGATTGAATATGTTATTAATCAAAAGAGTCTCTGTAGTTTCATTGCTTCTAGAATCTCCTGGGGCATTGTATACAGCTGCATTCAAAGAAAATGAACTGTTATAAACTTGATCATATTCATCCCTTGGGCCCATCTGATTACAAAATTGCCCAATGAGCTGTTACAGTGTTTTCAAGTAATTAGTTAACCCATACATTGTGTTTCTTTCCTTTCTTATTTTTTCTTTCTTTCTTTCTTCTTCCTCTTCTTCCTTTTTTTTTTTTTTTTTTTTTGCTTATATTTTACATATTTACTCTTTCTCCAACAGGCTATCTCAGTGTTTGTTGTGCTGCCCAAAACCTCAAATTACATCACTAAAATATGCTTTTTTCCCCCTACCACTTTTATTTTATTTTATTTTTTATCTTTAAAGTTTTTTTTTTTAATGTTCATTTATTTTTGAGAGACAGAACGTGAGTGGGGGAGGAACAGAGACAGAGGGAGACATAGAATTCAAAGCAGACTCCATCCAGGCTCTGAGCTGTCAGCACAGAGCTCAACGTGGGGCTCAAACTCATGGACTGTGAGATCATTACCTGAGCCGAAGTCGGACGCTTAACCGACTGAGCCACCCAGGCGCCCCTCCCTATCACTTTTAATGTGAGGAAAACAAATGGTGCACATTTCTTTTGCCATGTTATTGATTTTAAATCAGAGACATTAAAGAACATCTCTGGTTTTAAATCGGAGACATTAAAGTTCCTATTCAGGAACTCAGAAGCGACATTTGACTCTCAGATCATACAATTTCCTAAATCAGTATGTGAAGATTCAAGGGTCTTTCTGAACAAAGATATACTCAAGAATAAAACAGATACTGGGGTGCCTGGTGGTTTAGTCGGTTAAA